TTTTTTTTCATGATTCATTCATTTTCTAAAGCTTATCAATCCTTTGCAGGTTATTTAAAGCCAGAAAATATTTTTAGTTAAGAATGATAATAAAGGTGTATTGATACAAATCTTATTAATTAACCCATAACTTGTGGGAGAAGCAGTGGATTCAAACCTTTCCCAACAGTATTTGCACATAAGTGAATATAACACACCCAACAGAAATTGGAACTCAACTTTTGGATTAATAATTCTGAGCCATTATCCATCCACACATCTAAACTTACAGCACTTGGTTAGTCCCAAGCAATCACTTATCTTGGAACTGACCAGATTCGACATGGTTGTTTTCTATTCTTTATTCATTCCTGATGTGCAATAAAATATTTTTATCCGTGTAATTTTTAACCCACATCCACCTAGGGTCCGTTTAAACAGACAACTTTTTCTTTAAGTTTGTAATCATTCTTCTTACAATCCATATTTTCACTAATCACCATGAAGATGTGTTAAATTATTTGTAATATGTGCATATGACAACAATGCAGATCCTTTTTATCCTTAGAAGGTCTGCTGTTAGCAAAGTTGTTCCATTGTGTCATGCTAGAAAATTTTTCTAGCCAGATCCATCTTGCATATTCATGAGTACCATTTTTCCATGCTTTGAATATTGCTGCTGCATTATGGTCTGGTGCTCCTGCCATATATTTAGAAATTGTAGATAATATCTAAAGATTAATCAATTTTATTGGTCCTGACCTGGCATCTTGGCTTCAGTTATTTTCCAACTGCTGTAATGTAGCTTCCCTGTGTCTTTTCTATGAATAATTTTATAATTGTTCTAATAAATTTTTATCTATGGGATCTAGACTCTATGAATTTAAGCAAAGTACACTAACTCAGTAGCAAAATCTCACTTCACAGTTGAAATGGCAAAATGTAACCATAAGTTCTAGTTTTGTTTCTTGCACTTCTCGCTTATGAAACTCTTTCATTTTTTTTTTTTTTTTTTTTATTTCATTTCTGGTCAGGTTTGATCTTCAAAATTTTAATCAATATCTTGTCTTAATTTCTGTTCTTTTATTGTTCTCTCTCTTTAATATTTTTCTTATATTCTGTCACAGTAACCACCATGTCTTAGTGGCTTTGTTGCCTTGCTTGTGGCAAAATGATAAAAAAAAAAAAAAAAAAAAAAAGCTTCATTTCCTACCACCTCCTTTCATTCATATCACAACTGATTTATAAGCATTTTAACGGTAACCCTCTACATTAAGTGTCTCTCGAGACTTGTGTGAACAAATATAAAAGTCTATTCACGGTTGAGCTTTAGTCTCTAACACAAGGCCATGACGTGATAATAAAATTGACTTGCTACGACATGCCAGCCTAACCTTCTAAATCAGTTCTTTATGGTAGTTGTGATTAGGTGCCTAAATTTTCAAAAATTCATAAGCGGAAGATTAAACAGTGAAATGACCCAAATTTCACTGTAGGCATTATTAACATTTGTTGACAAATGTTAGGAAGCTATCTACTATTTACAGCTGATATCAATAAAGAAATAGTGTTCTAAAAAAAAAAAAAAAAAAATTCATAGACGAGTGAGTATAAGATTGGAAGGAGAGAAGTTAACAAACATCACACATGAAAATATGACATTTAAAGAGTTTTAAAGTAATGAATAAACATTTTTACAATACAATACATCCATCTGACTCATACAAAAAACTTTTTTTAGGGAAAGAAACAAAAAAGTCTGCTTAACATAAAATTACCAGGGAAAATTTTTGTTTTAAGAAAAATGGAAATATAAAAGGACGATTAGGATCAGAAAGAGAATTGAAATTCTTAATGAAAGATATTTTGGAGGAGATACGGCAAGATGTACCTATTGTGCTTGTGTAAATTATGAATGACAGAATAGGGACCGAGAGGAATGCTTAAAAAAAACAAAAAAAAAAAAAAACACACACACACACCCCCTTACCAAGCGTTACAAAGAACGTAATTTTTGTCAATGAAGAATATTCTTTACTTTAACAAACTGCAGAAATAATGGCTCCAGATAAATCACCAATTTAGATCATGAAATGTGGTTCCTGGATTATTACGGATGTCACTTGATTTTATTAGGAGAAACTCTTGTCAGTGCAAGAAAGAGTTACCTTTTCTCAAGCTATTTTTTTTTTTTTTTTTTTTACACTTCAACACTAAGTCATGGAACTTGTCAACTCTGCCAAACCCCTTTTGAAACAAAGTTACAAATGATTCTTTGACAATATCATTTCAATGGATTCTAAAAGCCTTTAGAATCCATTGAAATGATATTGTCAAAGGAAGACTAAAGGATATAAATTAAAAAACAATACACAATCAATGACAAACATTATTTTACCAGCTTTTAAGCGTATTTCTGCTACTAGCATTCGGGATAGAATTTCAGACCTTTCAATCGACATTCTACTCTACTCCAACTCTTACCCCCTAAAAACTAAGAGAAAAAAATGGGTAAAATAGGGTAGGGTTAATAAAGCAAAGGATTGTTAGGGTTTCAATCAGCACGTCCTGCTACCTAATGTCTTTTTCCTTCTTTTTGAGATGGAAATGTGAAAGACCTAGTTACCACCAATTTTTAGCCCAATTTTGCTATAAAGATCGACAGGCAGTAGCCAACCAGACAGCAGCCGGCTTGTTCCTTTTGTGGGAGGAAAACGAAATGGAGGCTATATATTTCAACGAAACGAATTACACATTTAATTTAATTGATATTTAAATAATAATTTAAAAACAAAAATATCAGTAAAATATTTTTAGACACTGTCATTTTTTTTCTCCAATTTTTTTTTTTTTTTTAAAATCAAGTGATGGAGAAAAAAATGTATGGATGATAATTTTCTTCAGTATTACAAGAAATACTTTTTTTAAAAAAAAAAAAAAACATAAAACGTGGCATGTTTCTTTCTTTTTTTTTTCTTTGCTTTTTTTAAAATATAATTCTTTTTTTTCAGTACATTTTAAACGTGTCGTGTTCATAAAAGTAAAAAATGTTGCGTTTCAAAATGTATGAAAGAAAAAAAAGAAAAAAGAAAAACAAGTCTTCTCTAATCATTTAGAATTAAAATAAAATGATTATAATTCGTTACAACAACGATGCGATTTATAATATTTGTCATAATAGGAAATGATTTTAAAAATAAAAATGCAATGACAATCAGTAAGAAAGAAACATTGAACTAAAAAAAAAAAAAAAAAAAAAAAAAAAAAAAAGTAACACCTGTATGATTCAGCATGATGTCACATGGAAATGTTTCAATAGACAGTCAATATTTATTTACTAAACGAGACATTTCCAGTAGTTTTTTTTTTTTTTTTTGTGAAACATATCCGACAATGAACGTATTTAAATGTAACAACATATGTGACGTTAAAGGGCTAAAGTGCTTCCATAGACTTTAAGGCAAAAATTCAAGGGGTGGAGGTTCACCCGTCTCACCCTCTAAGTCAGTCTGTATGACACGTGAACCTCTTGTCACACCACCCTTTCACCTACCTGACATACACTCCTAGATGCGTTGCATTCTTATTACAGAGTATTATTAAAAAGAAAAATATTTACCATCAATTTTACTTTTCCATAACTCATATCGAAATGTAAAAATTGCTGACAGCATTGCCATTGCTGGCGATAAGAGCAAAAATGTGGGTGTGCCATATTTATTGAATGAATCGAAATCAGTTGCATGTGTTATACAAACAAATTAACAATGAAAAAAATCTCTAAAAGAAAACAAATCATCATTACATTACATTTATTTAAATTAGATCATAGATACCACTGTCGTTTATCAGTACTGAAGACAAGCAGATTAATTGTGACATCGAAAAGTTTTAAAATTTTACGCATTTAAATCGAGGAAACATCTTTTTTGTAAAGATAAAGAAATAATATTAGTAATTAAAAAAACAATATAAACTATTTTTAAAAAAGTAAGTATTGGGAAAAAAAGATACTTTCTTTAAATTCAAATAATCCCTAAGTTATGACTTGCATGGCTCAAATTACACAGTATTAGAGAAAAAAATAAAGGAAAAAAAGCAGCAATGAGCAAAAATAGAAGTATTTAGTTTAGATACAAAGGAAAAAAATGTCCCTATTTTACTAGATTTTTTTTTTTAATTTAGTATTTTAATTATGTACATCCGGTAGTTTTATGGCGTCAATGGCCATTCGTAGAAATTGAAAAATGGTATATGACATGTAGATTTGATAACATTTCAGCGGCAGTTGGGAGAAGTGTCAATATCTAATTTTTTTTTTCCAAATGAACTCTGAACTCACTTTCGTCTGATTAAAAACATCAGAGTAAAATTATGTTTTAGTTTGTGCATGGACTAAAAATAAAATAAAAATTGACACTCATCATATATCCGCCGGCATTGCTTTCGTTAATTAACAATAAGCAAGGATTGTTAAGATTTTATTATTGAAAGAATTACTTAGTTTTTAAATTTCAATAACAGTTTTTAAAAGAATATTTTTAAAATTGCATTCATAATTCGTTTTCCTTACTGAAGAATCAAATACCGAAACAAATTTCCTGTTACCAAAAAAAAAAAAAAATAAAAATAAAATAAAAATCTGACATTTACAAAAAGCAGCTAGGTCACGTGGCCACCTTGGCGTAAAACGTACTTCGTGTGATATACGAGTAAAAACGACTGACAATTTAAAAATCTTAGTATAATAAGACTATCTTTCGTTTGCGGGGGGGGGTCTCGGGTCATATAAAAATCAAGTGTTTTCTCAATATAAAACAAGGGAAAAAAGGTTTTGGTGTCCATTTCCGCACCCCCACTCCTCCGTTTTGATGTTGTTTAACAAAACTTCTATCATTTTTAGGTCATTTTTAAACAGTCATTATGTATGATTGCCTTAAAAGCTTTATACTTAAAATAGCTTCTTAATTCAAATTTCTGACAGCATTATTTTTAGGACAGGAGTCCAGTTTATTACTTACCAGATAGGATCCCGGGCGTGTCTATAATACTGATGCTATCCAAAACAGGATTCTTTAACATGGAACATTGGAATCTGTTGAGAAAAGCATTTCCAAACTTGGAAAGGGGTCGGAACTGCTTTTTAGTGTCGACCACGAGGGCATTTCCCGGTATGATGCCTTCATTATCACCAATCATAACAGCTATAAACCGGTCAGTTGTAGGTTCGGGTCCGATCCGGATACCGGGAAAATCTTGCTCGAGTAGATAACGAATAAATGTAGTTTTCCCCGTGGAATATTGGCCGATCAGTAAAATCATAGGACGGGCATCAAAGTCAGGGTCATCGAGCATTGGGGAGTGGAAATCATGGAATTTGTAATGTTCCTCGAGAGGGTAAAGTTTAGTTTTATAAAGTCGTTTTAAACCCTCAACAACCGAAGTGTAGGCCTCCGGTTCCTTCCGCCGCCTGTCATCACCAGACATCCAACGTAACATGATTGATTAATAATTTGCGGGACAATTTTTCTGATTAGTAGAATTTATAAGTATTTTATAATTATATCCACTTTAAAAAAAAAAAAAAAAATGACGAAAATACAGATTCTCACTTACCACTTTTACATTTATTAAAAGGATTATTGTTCTTTTTAAACAATAAGATTTTCTTTTAGGTTGGTTTGGTTGTGTTTCAATAAAACTTGGGAAAACTTTTTTTTCTCTCAATTAAAGAATCAGTATTTAGAGGATTTGAGAGGTTTTTTCTTTTTTCTTTTTAAATAGATTTTAAAAACCAAAACTATTTAAAAGCAAAACAAAAGTAAATATATTTCGGCCTGTAAATTATGATAACTTGACAATTGACATCAAGCAAATTATATGGGCCTTAAAGATTAGCCAAAAAAGATAGACCTTTCTCTAATAAAGTGAAAGTAACTATGTAAGAAGACAAAGAAAAAGGATGGACTTCGAGGAAAAAAAACGAAGGTTGGTGAAAGAGGATTGTCGTAAATTTGCCGGTAAGAAAGTAAATAATACAAAAGTGGGGAAAAAATGCTTAGTAAATCAAGTTGCTTTGCGTAGGTGGGTGTCTATAGATGCGATGAATCATCCTGTTTTTTAAACATGTTAGTTAATCTGTAAATAATTACTAGATTTTTTCTTTAATACATGGATTAATTATCATTTTAGCATCCATTGGATAGAGAATAAGAAATCTCAATATCACTTTTTTTTTGTTTGTTTTTGCAAAATCCTATGATTTTTTTTAACTCCCAACAAATTTACCTTAATTTCTGCTGATGTCGTGTTTCACTTCAAACAAGAAAATAAAGAAAAAAAACGAGGCTTTATAATTTCCTCCCAATTAAATAAAGAAAAAAATCCACTCCAAAGATAATAGATTTACATAAAAATCTGATCCCTGTTGAACGAATTTAATGCCGTGTCACCAATTTTTTAAATTTTTTTTCCTTTAATTTTCCTGATTTTTATCCCCCGGGTTTTTTTTTACTGCTGTCATGAGTATTTTGTTTCCTTGCTTCTTTTTTTTTTGTTCCGGCAGTCTTTTTCTTTTTAATCCCGCAGTTTTGGTTTATAAAGACAGCAAACTCAAAACAAGGTAGTCCAGTTAATAAACAATGCTGTATCAGTGACAAGAGGACAGCTTTAATGCCACGACGTTGTCTGGTTTTTATTTTTAAATCTATGTATATATATATTTTTAAGAAACAACCAACCAAGCTTTCCCATCTGACGACAGGCTGGCTGAAATAATAATGGCAGAGCGTATTGAGAACTGCCGCCACTGCGCAGGCGCACTGGTACGCTCGTCTCTCTTCAGATGTATTATTTTCCATTGGCTACATTCAGAACTCAGCTTTGTGGCACTATGGAAACCCAAAAGAACAATAAAAACAAACTCAGCTAGAAAACCAATTATTTTAGCGATTAATACATCTGTAAAAAGAAAAAAATAGCTTAATGTATGAACTGTCTACAAAATCTTAAAAGACATGAGCAACGAATGTTAAATGCCCTTTTTTTTAAGGAAATAATAATAAATAATTCGTTTTGTGATCTAAAATCTCATCATTTATATATTGTGTTTTTGATAAAAAAATCTTTAAAAATCTGTATAAATTAAGATTTAGGGAGATTAGCAAATTAAACAGATTCAAATTATGATGGACACATTATTAGAGCATATTCTATTAATTAATCAGTTTCAAACAAAGTAAAAACTTCTTTTTATTGAAAATTTATAATAAGAAAAACAATCTCTATTGAAAGGATACCTAAAAGATAAAAACTACTCAGAATTTAAAACATATATCAAATTATTAATATGCAAAGTTTCTGCTTTTAAGTATGTATAGTTATCAAGAACTCCCACAGAAAGTAGTGAAGGAAAACGAGAAAAAAGGACTAAACATTAATTGCAAGAAGACAGAATGCATGGTTGTTAGCAAAAAGAAGAGCCCAACATGCAAATTACAAAATGGAGATAAGAAAATCAAACAAGTATAACAATTTAAATATCTGGGAAATGTTTTATCAGAGAACAGAAAGTGTGACACTGAAATCCAAAGGTGCATTGGGAAAACAAAAGATGTCTTCCAAAAGCTAAGTTCTTAATAGAGGTAAATAATAATACAGCAGATTCAGAAGTTAATGGGTGATAATATAAATGGATATAAATCAAAGGACAGGAAAAAGATAAAACTTGTCTTACATTATCTGTCTATATTTCTGAAATGAGGTATTATGTACACTATTTACATTATTCAGACTATTGTCTTCATCTTTGTCTTCATATTTATTACAATGTTTCAGCTGTTGTATGCTCGAGCCTTCTTCAGGTGGTTGGAATGTCGAACTGAATCTTTTATTTCGTTCACTGGGGTAGAGTGTTCTAGTTCCACGTGCCATGTTTAATGGATGTCAGTTATCAGTTATCTCCCCTCTCCAAGTTATCCATTGCCATAACCAGGTATTGAACTCACACTCTTTGGGTCCTGTTACTGGATCTAACCAATGCCTTTGTCCACTGTGCCATGTGTGGAATCAAATGCAGTCAATGGTCAAATGTAATTCCTGTTCTTGTATTATTGTTCAATATTTCATTTTCCTCCATTATCAGAAATCACTTTTCCTGTATTATCAGAATTTGTTGTGTTACAAAATAAAGTCTTGATGTGTTTGTTTAATAAATCTTATTTCTCTCACCATAAGATTTATTTAAACACCCTGTGCTCTCCACAAACTTCTTTTTTTATTATCTAGAAATTGCAAAATTCTTTCAGAAAGTAGTTTTATCAAATTTAAAAGAAATTGTGTGTATTTTAGGTGAAGGTGCATTGTCAGTATATAAACAAAAAAGTTAGTAGCATACACAACTTGAGTTTCTACTATGAACATTTATACTTTTTATGGTCACTGTAGTGAAACAAAATTCTCAATGTCTCTTTGGTATGCCTGTTTTTCTTTTTGGTTCAGAAATAAGTTAGGATAGATAAGTATCATATTCATGGTCAAGTTCAAGTCAGCCTTGCACAGAGTTGGAACAACCAAAGGAAAGTTTCTACTTACTCTATCACTGGGGGATTTAAACATGGTTATGGGATTTCTGTTTCCTTTTTCTTGGTCCAGAAGTTAAAGTAAGTCAGTATAAGCATCGTTGCAATGGTTGTACTCAAGTCAGCTTTGCACTGAGTTGGAACAACCAAAGAGAAAACTTTACTTATTTTTAGGTTGAAGTTTTGTAAGGGACATGCAAGAGCCATGCATTGGAAAATGGGAAGAGAGTTCAGTCATCAGTTGACAGGTAAAACTAACAGACACCAGTGGGAACATAATTACGAAGTGGTTCACATCTTGGAGCAAAGAGGAAAAACAAAGTGAGTCAGGAAATGTTTGTGTTTTTATAGGCCTCAAGAATATTACCTAACAAAGTTTGGTGAAACCAAGAGGGGTAATCATATTTCTGGTTCCTTTACTCTTAGCATCATGGGAAAATGTATTTTTTTTTATTACACATCATTATTATTTTATTTATCAATTTGATTTAATTTTCCCACAGTTTCCCATTGTCTTCCTCACACTTTTGAATTCAAAGTCATCCTCATAAAGTAGTTTCCGCCCAAATCTAGAGAGCCCAATCTATCCTGTTATTTAATCTATGATAGAAAGAATGCATTCATTGCTTTCCCAAGGATATTAGTGCTAAAATTAATGCAGCAAACTAGACCGGCATTTGAACTGGGCTTGCCAATTCTACTTTTCAGTTCAATAACTGTTACGCTGAAAACATTAAAAAGTTAGTTATAGACAGTGGCATAGCTAGAGGGAGGCACTTTTATAGGGGTGGCACTTTTGTGTTTGCTGTAGACTATAAGCCTATATAGGATGTATTGAAATAAAAGTGGTTTTAATGTCAGGACAGTACTCACAGTTGAGGCATCTTTTCAATTTTGAGTAACTTAAATCGTGGCATATATATTGACCTATCTACTGTCTATAGAGAAACAATTGACAAATGAAATATTTTTTGACAAAGTCATTGAAGAATTTGCCAACAAAAATGCAAGAAAAATTACTTTGTAGAAAGTTGTTATTTTCATTTCAGAAATAAAGATGGTCCTAGTTTTTTAGCCTTTTTTCCCGTATATGTTGCTTTTGCTTTTTAACTGTTACTGATAAAGTATGTTTGCTGTGTATTTAAAGTATACTATATTTGAATATGTGAAAGTAATATAATTGTATACAAACTAGTTTTATAACTTTAAGAGTGAGTCTCTATACAATATGTATTTTTTGTGGGAGCCAGTGGGGCAGCAAACTCAAAAGATGCCCCAGGTGATACACACCCTAGCTATGCCACAGGTCGTAAATTATTTTATTTATAACTCATTCTGTCTGTGACAGAGTTGTAAACATGAAATGATTTTATACTGTATTTTACAAGGAAAAAAAAGAAAAATAGCCAAATAATTAAAAATCTTAAATTTTACCTTTGCTTCATCATACTTAAACTCATAAATACAATACAGAAAGAATGGTAAATACCAAAAACAAGCTGAGTGTCTTGTACTGGAATAATGGTTAGTAAGTTTGTCTGCAATGATAGCTTGTATTCAGGACTATATATGATAGGTACATAAATACTCTTGCTCACTTTCTGTGCTGAGATGGAGTAGCAACAGCACAGAATTTATCCCCGCCAGTGGAAGATTTCTCCTTCCAAATGACAATCCGACAACTTAATTTCAAACAAACCATGTGGACACTTACACATACATGTATCCACTACAGCAAGATATATCTTTTTTTTTATCTATTTGTATATATGTTCTTTTACTTCTTTTGTAAGCTATGTTGTTTTATATAAACATATTTATGAGAAGATAAAAGAAGAAACAGGAAACATTTATGAATCAAACATCTTTCACTTTTATTAAAGCTTCATATGAAACTTTAATAAAACT